GTTGGCAGAATCTGCAGTTATAATTCTGTCCTTATTATAAAATAAAAACATATTCACTGTAGAAAATTTAGAAACCACACATATGCAGAAAAGAAAATTTAAAATAACCCATAATCTCAGTAACCCGAAATAACTCCTGTTAACATTTTCAGCACACGTGCCCTCCCAGACTTTCCTCTGCTCAGAGTATGTATTTGTGGTACCAAGTGGATCGCACTGTACACCCCACTTTGTAACTTCTTTCCATTTAACTGCAGCCCACGCCGGGTCATTAAGTGTTTTTCTACAACATCCCTTTTTAATGGCCAAATCAGCCAAAGGATACTAAGGGGACAGGCGAGGAAAATTTTATAACACAGAACATTCCACTTGAGCATTACATAGGAAAATGCCCTTTGTAAGCAAATCAGCCTTAGGGCTACAGAAAAACATGGTTTAAAAATCTTTTTTCTCTTTAGTCCAAACTGTGCAATGCCAAAAAAGCAAGGATGCTGTCTGACAGCTCCCCTTGGCTGGGGACATCTTCTCCAGAAAACGGCATCAAAGCACTGAAGGGCTGATGTCCACTTACTGCAGGACCGAATGCTTGTGTCTCCGCCTCCCCCAAATTGATATGCTGGAACCCTAAGCGCCACTGCGATGGTATTTGGAGGCGGGGCCTCGGGAGGCCATTAGGGTTATGAGGTCATCAGGTGGGGCCCCATGACGGGTTAGCGCCCTCGTAAGAAGAGAACCCAGAGCGCTCTCTCTCGCGCTCTCCTGACGGCTGACACGGCAGCCGTCCCTGAGCCAGGGAGACAGCCGCCGCCAGGGCCTGAGCATGTCGCTACCTTGCTCTCAGCCTTCCGCCTCCAGATCTGTAAGAAATAAATTTCTGATGTTGAAGCCGCCCGGTCTATGGTATTTTGTCCTGACGGCCAAGCTAAGGCAGCAGTAAGATGTCTGAGGTAGCCTGGGCACTGGGAGAACACAGTCCTTGGGACTCTACGAAGCGAGTGCCCAGGGAGAGCGCCGCGGTGGCACACGTGCAGGAGGAGGAGGTAGGAGCCTGAATCCGCGGACGCTCCCACGGGACTCGGATGCGAAATGGGCGCTGGGCTAGGGTCTGCCGGAAAGCACAGCTTTCCGCTGGCTCCATGGTGACATCAGAGGTGAAGTGCACAGTCCTGGGAGATGGCGCCCCTGGGCCGGCTGCTCAGGAGCAAAGCGTCCTGGGCTCCCCGCCTGCAATGGTCTGCCCGGGTTTGCAGCCTTTTCTCCTGCTGTGAGCCCACAGGAAGGGGAGGAAGGAACCAAGAACGCAAAGGCGCCGGCTGGGACAAAGAAGTCCAAGAAGAGCGAGGGGCACCCGCAGGATCAGAGAGGACCCCAGGATGAAAAGGGGGGCTCCTCTGGGGACCAGGGCTCAGGGCCTGAGAGCAGCTCACACAGACTCAGGCCCTCGCCAGGGTCCGGGAGGGGCTGAGGACCCCCCAGGTCCCGCCTCGGAACTGGCCAGAGGCCAGTCCATCGCTGCTCCCAAAGCTGTGCCAGACCCTAGACCCACTGTGACCTAACAGTGACGTCCTTGGGAGAAAAATAGTTATGCTCACAAAAGGGTCGCTTTTGCCAAGCACGCGTGTCTGACGGTTTATTTTTTATCTGCAGTGCCCAGGCTTCTGCATTTGCGGGGCCACTGGCTGCCACTTACTCCAGGGAATGAGGGAGGAAGAGCCCCCCTAGCGAGGGGTCCCTCCAGGCATGGAGGGAGCCTCGGGGTGGCCCCAGCTCCCTCTTCCGTCAGGAGCTGTTGGCCCCTCAGTCACAGGCCGGCTCGGGGGAAGGCCGGTTTCCCCTCCAGAGGCCGCCGAAGGACCCCAAGCCCGTGTCCATGACCCGTAACGGCTGCAGGCCCGTCTGCACAGCGCCCCCGCCACAGCTCCCTGAGCACCAGCGACTGTCCCTACCCTCACCCTCCTCACCTCCGTTCACGTTCACCTCCGACGCAAAGCGGCCATTACCACCCCCTCGGCCTGGCAGTCTGACCCCAGATACCCCCATTATACTAATCACCATCAGACTCACACCCTGGCTTGCACCACAAAGACCTGGCAACACCAGTAAATGACACATGCGATCCAGTGAAACACACGTGCATCCTATAAATCCGCCAGTCGAGGGGCCCTGCTTACGTACAGATCGATAAACACGCACTCGAGGCCACATCAGTTCTGTCCAAGGTGCTCCCTCGCCCCGACAGACAGACGGACAAGCCAGGCTCCCCCGACCCTTGGGCCGCCCTGGTGAGCTCAGGTCTCCCGGCCGCTGGCTTCTTCCAGTGGAATGAGGCACCAAAGAGTCTAAGCGGAACCAGCCACGGGCGTCGGAGTCCCACTGGCCCAGTGCTTTGCACGGAGAGCCCCGTCTTCTCCGTCCTCTAAGGGACCCAGAGGTGGGACACTGACGACTGGGCAGCTGCATCATTTCCTGGGGCTGCCGTAACAAATTACCACAAACTGGGGGGCTCAAAACAACACGAATTTATTCTCGCACAGCTGGGGAGGCCAGAAGTCTGAAATCCCTGTGTCGCAGGGCCCCCCCTGCATAGGCTTTAGGGGGGTCCTTCTGGCCCCTTCCAGCTTCTGCTGTTACCCTGCTCCTGGGCTCGTGCTGCGTCTCTCCCGTCTCTGCCTCCGTCTTCACATGATCATCTGTCTCCCCCGTGTCTCTGGGTGACCTCTCCTCTTCTTATAAGGACACCAGTCACTGGATTTAGGGTCCATCCTACTCCAGTGTGATGACCTCACCTCAACCTGGTTACATCTGCAAAAACCCTATTTCCAAGTAAGCGGTCATCCCATGTTCCGGGAGTTAGGACTTGGACACACAGGGGCACTGGTCAGCACACAGAGTCGGTCTGTCCTGGGAGGTCAAGGGAGAACGGGCACCTGCAGCAGCACCGGGAGCCTCTCCCCCACCAGCCCCTGCTCCAGCACCCCAGCTGGGGGCCTCACTTCCTCCTGAGCCCTGCCGGATGCCTGACTCCCTCAGACTGAACCAAACTCTGTCTCCCCAGAGCCTGCGGGACACATCGACTTTGAACATCATGGGGAGCATTGAGGCAGGCCCGCCCCTCTGCCCACCTCACCCTCCAAGGCTCTTAACGGGTGTGAGTCCCTTCACACCCGTGCTCACGGCCAGGTCAGCACCCCGCTGGCCACTGTTCCTCCTAAAGCAAGACACAGAGGTGACTCCAAGTGCCCCAAGGAGACCCGTCAGTGGATGTGGGGGCCTGATGCTTCCCCCAAACAAGCCGGGGTGCTGCAGGCACAGGGTGGGCGCAGGGCAGTCTCCACGCTCTCGGATCTGGAGCCTGGCTGAGGGGGTGGGCCAGAGGCAAGGTGCCCTTCACCCTAAGCCAGGCCATGCTGCAAACACAAGCCCCCCAACATGTGAAAGAGAGGAGCTGCCCCCACCTCAGTCTGCCGTTAAAATGTGTGCGATCATGTGATGACTTCTCCCCCAAAGGCCGAGAGCTCCCCAATGGTGGGGGTAAAAAAGCCAGGTCTGTGCGTGTCCCTGGCACATAGTTGGGGCTGACAAAGTCTTGTTGAAAGAAAGAAAGAAAGAGAGAGAGAGAGAGAGAGAGAGAGAGAGAGAGAGAGAGAGAGAGAGAGAGAGAGGGAGGGAG